ATCCTGAAATTCAATTGGTTTGCGCCACGATAAAGTCATGTGACCGGAAAATTTTTTGTGGTATAATTACATAGGTTCTTAAAGCCAGGTATCTCACGAGATCTTCTGATTATTGAAGATCATCAGGTAGTCATGGGACATATCATTTTACGAGAACTTTTTCAAACTTCTAGCGAAGATTTCTTAATAACTAATTGATCATATTCAACAAAAATTTTTTTATTTTGTTTCTATATATTTGTAGAATAAAAATAAAAAAAATTCAACGAATTCGGATAGGAGGTTGTTGAGAAACTTTCACTAAAAGATTTAAAAAACGGTCGAATATCAAAAAATCGGTGTAAAGTTTCTTCTTTTTGAACATTAAGCGAAGATTTCTCGACAACCACTTATCTAAATTCAATGAATTTTTTATTTTATTTTATTTCTATGGGTTTATAGAATTAAATAAATAAAAAAAAATTGATCAAATTTTGACAGCTGATTATTAAAAAATATTCGTTTAAACTTAAAAAAATTAGCCGTAGCTTCTTTATTATAGATGCTTAAACTTTGAATGAAAATTACTCGGGACATACCAAGTCAAGTTTGATCTTTTTTTTTAATTCTATGTGCTTATAGAAGTAGAAAAAAAAAATTTGATCGAATTTGATCATGTAAATGCCAAGTAATCTTTGTTCAAAGTTTAGGCGTCTATAGAAAAGAAGTTGCAGCTAAATTTTTAAACTAATATTTTTTGACAACTAGCTATCTAAATTCGATCAAAATTTTTTTATTTTAATCCTATATTTAAAAAATTTTTTCCAAATTTGGAAGACAAGCATTGAGAAAAAAAATTTAAATAAAAAAATGTTCTAGTAGATTTTTGAATTAAACTTTAAACAAAGATTTCTCAACGCTCATTTATCCAAATTCGATTAAAAATTTTTTATTTTAATTGTATGTATCCATAGAATTCAAATAAAAAATTTTGATCAAATTTAGATAGCTAATTGTCGAGAAATATTAGTTTAAAATTTTAACCGCATCTTCTTTTCTATAAGCGTTTAACCTTTCCAGGTTTTGATTATGGGAGATTGTTTTTTAGGATACTGTATAACAATTATAATAAATTAATTATAACATAAAAAACGAAATATATAATTTTATTTGATTATTAAAAAATATTTTTAATAACCCTATACATAGTGAAGCTAGCTATTTTCTTTAAAAAATCGAATAAATGCAATAAGATTATCAGTATTGGTTTTTTTTAAGACTGATGGTGGAATAGCAATTTGCTTCGCAAATTCAACACCAAATATGTTTCTTAATTTTTTTGCTTTTTTTGATGAATTAACTAATGCAGTTATATCTCTTTTTAAATTTTCATCAAGTTTTTTTTTTACATCAGTATTCTTAGGATCAAAACTTTCATATGTATCACAAATTTTTGCAAGATAATATAATGTAGAATCTTTTGTTACTTTTTCCATAAGATTTCCAAGATCATTAATCGATAACTTAGTTGAAAATTCATCCAAAACTTCATTATCATTAGTATTAGTAGCAGTGTAAGTAGGTGACAAGTCAGGCGCTAAGTGTATTGGTACTCGAATTTCTATATCAGCTTCTATTTAAAATAATATAATAATAAATATAAATAATATAAATAAGGCCAATTCTATTTTGACCTGGGTCAAAAGTGATTCATCACATGACTATATTCCAAAGAAATTTTAAATCTTCAAGCGAAAATATTCCAACAACCATCTGACCAAATTCAATAAAACATTTTTATGAATTCATAGAATTCAAATAAATTTTTTTTTATTAGATTTAGTCAGGTAATTGTCGAGATATCTTTACTCAAAGTATTAAATAGAATTTGGTATAGCTTTTATTTTGATAGACATTCTGATTTTTCTTTAACTTTGGGCGAAGATAACTTGGCAACCACCTGACTAAATTCGATGAAATTTTTTTTATTCGAATTCTATGAATCCATAGAATTTAAATAAAAAAGTTTAATTGAATTTAGTTAGATGATTGTCAAGATATCTTCACTCAAATGTAAAGAAAAAATTTAATATAGCTTTTATTTTGATAGGCATTTTGATTTTTGAGTAATATATCTTGACAACTACCTGGCTAAATTTGATAAAAATTTTTGTATTCAAATTCTATGAATCCATAGAATTCAAATAAAAAGTTTTATCGGATTTGGTCAGATGGTTGTTGAAATATCTTCGCTCAAAATTTTAAAAATCATCAGGCCATTTTGACCTGAGTCAAAATAGAATTGGCTTATAAATAATATAATAAGTTAAATATTTAATTTAATACCTTGAATTTGATGATTGAATTGATCTAATTTAAAAAAATTAGATTTTAAAAATTAGATTAGATAAAATAATTATTCACAAATTAAAAAATAACAAATCAAATATAAATAAAAAATCTAGCTTTAAAATAATTACTATCTAATTACTATCTAATTAAAATTGTTATAAAAGTTTATTTGTATCTGATTTGTACTAAATTTATTATTTTACCTTCTAAGGTTTTAATTTTTTGCTCATATTCTAAATTAATATAATATAAAAGTATAAGTTTTATATTTAACAAAAAATTATATTTATTACACAGCTCCTAATTGTTCAATAACTTTTTTACTGATACTCTCACGGTTTAATATTAGTCCGCCGTGAAAATATCAACCGTGAGAATATTAGTAAGAAAAAGTCATGGGTGAAAATTAGGATCCGTGAAATAAAACAGTTATTACACATATTTGTCATCAATATTATTAAAATCCTGAATCAATCTCAATATCATTCATCATTGCAGCTGCACCACAATACTGAATAATATCTCGATGTTTAATGATATCGATGATAAATACATGTAATAACTATTGCATAATTACCTTGTAGCTTTTTTTTCAATTCTTCAATTTCATTTTCATATTCTATTACAAAAAAATATAAAAAATAAAATTAAGTTATTAAATTAACCTAAAAATCAGCTTTAAAAATACAAAATATTTCTTATAATTTAAAATTTAAACTACTTTTATTACTAAAATGCATCAATAACCTTAATTCTAACACTAAATACTAATTCCAATATAAAAAATTTATGCTAAAATTTTATTTTGCTAGATTATATGTAGTTTAAATAGTCTTATTATACTGTATTTAACTTTATACTATGTATCTAAACAATAATTTAATATTTACCTTGTACATTTCTAACATGTTCTCGTGGTTCTAATATAATTTTAATATTTTTAATAAAATAATAAAAATACAAATTTTAATATTTAAGTTTTTTGCTTACCTTCCAAACTAAGTTCAATCATTGAGTTTGAAAGATCAAGAATTAAATTTGAAGTATCTACGTTTTCATTACATGGATTCCAACTTTTATCTTCATAAATATATGATTTATGACTAATTAAACTATAAACTTTGTTATCTCGTTTGCAAACACAAACAATTTTAAGATTTTCATCTATGGTTTTAACTATACTATAGGCGGTTGAAAGACAGTGTCTTTCTGTTTTATTTGCTATAATTAAAGTAAACTTAAATCGATAAAATTTAAATTATTGTCTGATTAAAAGTTCAAAATACATACATACGTATGTACGTATATATAACAGGTTATGCTACTAATTTAGTTAATAGCGTCCTTAGTAGAAATGATTTCTACGATTTTTTTGTTTAAGACATAGTAAGCCACAAATCCCCAAAACTTATAATATACCGAATTCTCTTATTGAAATCAAGGTTATCTATGCGATTGTCAGCTCGCATTATTGTTTAGCTGTTTTTTCAATCTACAAACATGTAAGTACCATGGCCATGGCTGAGTCTATTTTTATAAACTTGAAAAGCAAAGCCTAATTTTTTCTTATACTATATTCAACAAAGTAGATGTGACTATATACGTATATCTATATATATATCAAAAAATAACTAACATGTATGTACGTATCTGGCTTTACGTATCACCCATTAATAGCCATATAACTTTATAGGTAGTGAACTTACTCAAAGCACGACAACAAATTATATATGTTAGTGTTTTTTTTTATTTTCTTTCTATTTGCCTGATAATGTCTTTCGAACATTTTTTATTAGGTTCTCCTATTTGAGTAATAAATTAGGCCTTCACAATATTGAGGTGAATATTTAAGGCAGGTGTTTAAGTGAATATTTTGAAGGTAAACTTTGATGAGAATATGGTGAAGTTTGAGGTGAATTTTGAAGTGAATATGCAAATAAATGTTCAAATGAATGTTTAAGTGAACGTTTAAGTGAACGTGCAAATGAAGGTTCAAGTGAACATGCAAATGAAGGTTCAAGTGAACATGCAAGTGAATGATCAAATGACGTGCAAGTGAACGTTCAAGTAAATGTGTAAATGTACGTGTAAGTTAATGTGTAAACGAACATCATGAAGTTATTATCACGAAGTTTTAAAAAATAATAAATCTAGATGATTAATCTGAGTTAATCAATCTAAAAAATCATTGAAAATGGAGCTTCATAAATGTATAAAAAATATCAATGTACAATATACAATATATTACTTAACTAAGTAGTTGTATACAGTAATGATTATCTTAAAGGTACGTCGTGGTTAAATATCTAGTTGTATACTGTTATGACTATCTTTTAATAAATTAAAGATATGATGTTTATTCTTTTAAATTAGACAACGAGTTGATTATTGATTTTAAAACTTCCTGATGAACGTGTAAGTGAACGTCCAATGAACGTGTAAGCGAACGTGTAAGTGAACATGCAAGTAATGTGTAAGAGAACGTTCAAGCGAACGTGTAAGCGAACGTGCATATGAACGTTATGAAAAAATAATAAATCTAGATAATTAATCTGGGTTAATCAATCTAAAAAAATCATTGAAAACGGGGCTTCGTCAATATTGTAAGGATTATCCTTGAAGGTATGTCGTAGTTATGTAGTTGATATTGTAAGGATTATCTATGAAAGTACGTTGTAATTAATTTCTGGTTGTATACTGTTATGATTATCTTTAATAAATTAAAGATACAAGTTGATTATTGATTTTAAAACTTCCTGGTGAACGTGCAAATGAACGTTCAAGTGAACGTATAATTGAACGTGCAAGTAACGTGTAAGTGAAAGTGCAAATGAATGTTCAAGTGAGCGTGTAATTGAATGTGCAAATGAAAATCACGAAGTTATAAAAAATAATAAATCTAGATGATTAACTTGGTTAATCAATCTAAAAAAATTATTGAAAATGGGGCTTCGTCAATGTATAAAAAATATCGGCACAATATACAACATGTTACTTAACTAAGTAGTTGTATACTATAATGATTTTCTTTAAAGGTACGTTGTAGTTAAAAATCTAGTTGAATATTGTTATACTAATTTAAAGATACGATATTAACTAAGTAGTTGATACTGTAAGGATTATCTTTGAAGGTATGTTGTAGTCAAATATTTAGTTATATACTATTATGATTTTCTTTTAATAAATTAAAGACACAATGTTTATTCTTTTAGATTAAACAAGAAGTTGATTATTGATTTTAAAACTTCCTGATGAACGTGTAAGTGAACGTACAAATGAACGTTTAAGCGAACGTGCAAGTGGTGTGTAAGTGAACGTGCAAATGAACGTGTAAGCGAATATGCAAGTAATGTGTAAGAGAACATTCAAGCGAACGTGTAAGTGAACATGTAAGCGAGCATGCATATGAACATTATAAAAAAATAATAAATCTAGATGATTACCTGGGTTAATCAATCTAAAAAAATCACTGAAAACGGGGCTTCGTCAATGTATAAAAAATATCGGTACAATATGCAACATGTTATTCAACTAAGTAGTTGTATATTGTAATGATTTTCTTTAAAGATATGTTGCAGTTAAAAATCTAGTTATATACTGTTATGATAATTTAAAGATACGATATTAACTAAGTAGTTGATTATCTTTGAAAGTATGCTGTAGTTAAATATCTAGTTGTATATTGATATAATTATTTTTTTAGATTAGACAAGGAGTTGATTATTGATTTTAAAACTTCCTGATTAACGTGTAAGTAAACGTGCAAATGAATGTGTAAGCAAACGTGTAAGTGAACGTGCAAGTAATGTGTAAGAGAATGTTCAAGCAAACGTGTAAGTGAATGTGTAAGTGAACATGTAAGTGAACGTGCATATGAAAGTTATGAAAAAAAATAAATCTAGATGATTAACCTGGGTTAATCAATCTAAAAAATCATTGAAAACAGGGCTTCGTTAATGTATAAAAAATATCGGTACAATATGCAACATGTTACTCAACTAAGTAGCTGTATACTGTAACAATTTTCTTTAAAGATACGTTGTAGTTAAAAATCTAGTTGTATACTGTTATAATAATTTAAAGATACAATGTTAACTAAGTAGTTGATACTGTAAGGATTATCTTTGAAGGTACGTTGTAGTTAAATATCTAGTTAGTTGTATATTGATATGATTATTGCTTAATAATTTAAAGATACAATATTTATTTTTTTAGAATAGACAAGGAGTTGATTATTGATTTTAAAACTTCCTAATGAACATGTAAGTGAACATACAAATGAATGTTTAAGCGAATATGTAAGTGAACATGCAAGTGACGTGTAAGAAAACGTTTAAGCGAACGTGTAAGTGAGCATGTAAGCAAACATGCATATGAATGTCATGAAAAAATAATAAATCTAGATGATTAACCTGGGTTAATCAATCTAAAAAATCATTGAAAACAGGGCTTCATCAATGTATAAAAAATATCGGTACAGTATGCAACATGTTACTCAACTAAGTAGTGTATACTGTAATGATTTTCTTTAAAGATATGTTATAGTTAAAAATCTAGTTGTATACTGTTATGATAATTTAAAGATATGACGTTAACTAAGTAGTTGATACTGTAAGGATTATCTTTGAAGGTACGTTGTAGTTAAATATCTAGTTGTATATTGATGTGATTATTGCTTAATAATAATTTAAAGATACAATGTTTATTTTTTTAAATTAGACAAGAAGTTGATTATTGATTTTAAAACTTCCTGATGAACATGTAAGTGAACGTGCAAATGAACGTGTAAGCAAACGTGTAAGTGAACGTGCAAGTGACGTGTAAGAGAACATTCAAGTGAACATGCATAAGAACGTTATGAAAAAATAATAAATCTAGATGATTAACCTGGGTTAATCAATCTAAAAAAATCATTGAAAATGGGGGCTTCGTCAATGTATAAAAAATATCAGTACAATATGCAACATGTTACTAAGCTAAGTAGTTGTATATTGTAATGATTTTCTTTAAAGATACGTTGTAGTTAAAAATCTAGTTGTATACTGTTATGATAATTTAAAGATGCGATGTTAACTAAGTAGTTGATACTGTAAGAATTATCTTTGAAGGTACATTGTAGTTAAATATCTAGTTAGTTGTATACTGTTATAATTTTCTTTTAATAAATTAAAGATACAATGTTTATTCTTTTAGATTAGACAATGAGTTGATTATTGATTTTAAAACTTCCTGGTGAACGTGTAAGTGAACATGCAAATAAATGTGTAAGTGAACGTGTAAGTGAACGTTTAAGCGAATGTGTAAGTGAACGAGCAAGCAAACGTGTAAGTGAACGTGTAAGCGAACGAGCATATAAACGTTATGAAAAAATAATAAATATAGATAATTAACCTGGGTTAATCAATCTAAAAAAATCATTGAAAACGGGGCTTCGTCAATGTATAAAAAATATCGGTACAGTATGCAACATGTTACTCAACTAAGTAGTGTATACTGTAATGATTTTCTTTAAAGATACGTTGTAGTTAAAAATCTAGTTGTATACTGTTATGATAATTTAAAGATACAATGTTAACTAAGCAGTTGATACTGTAAGGATTATCTTTGAAGGTATGTTGTAGTTAAATATCTAGTTGTATATTGATGTGATTATTGCTTAATAATTTAAAGATACGATGTTTATTCTTTTAGATTAGACAAGGAGTTGATTATTGATTTTAAAACTTCCTGATGAACGTGTAAGTGAACATGCAAGTGACGTGTAAGAGAACATGCAAGTGACGTGTAAGAGAATGTTCAAGCAAACGTGTAAGTGAACATGTAAGCGAACGTGCATATGAACTAGATGATTAATCTGGGTTAATCAATCTAAAAAAATCATTGAAAACAGGGCTTCGTCTATGTATAAAAAATATCGGTACAATATGCAACATGTTATTCAACTAAGTAGTTGTATACTGTAACGATTTTCTTTAAAGATACATTGCAGTTAAAAATCTAGTTGAATATTGTTATACTAATTTAAAGATACGATGTTAACTAAGTAGTTGATACTGTAAAGATTATCTTTGAAGGTAAGTTGTAGTTAAATATCTAGTTAGTTGTATACTGTTATGATTTTCTTTTAATAAATTAAAGATACGATGTTTATTTTTTTAGATTAGACAACAAGTTGATTATTGATTTCAAAACTTCCTGGTGAACATGTAAGTGAACGTGCA